TGGATTCAACCCCTCGTGATGATGATGATGTTGGTGACAATGATGATGACAGCAATGGAAACAGGGCTGAGCATTAGTTCCCCTGGCTTTGATTCCCAGTGACACACACGAAAAAGATTAACAGCAAAAACCATTAATGTGAATGTAAAGAAACTGAAACCCTCACGCACCAATAGCAGGAACATGAAATGGTGCAGCTGCTTTGGAAAACCACCTGGCAGTTCCTAAAATGGTTAAACATAGTTACTAATCTCCCCATCATTTCTGCTTCTATTTTACCCAACAGAAAAACATTTCACACAAAAACTTGTACATGAACATTCATGCCAACATTATTCACAAAAGCCAAAAAGTAGAAATAACACAATATCCATCCACAGATGAGTGAATGCACTAATGTGGTGCAGCCATACAGTGAGATATTGTTTGGCAATAAAAGTGAATCAAGTAGCCAGATGTAGTGACACACACCCGTAACTGGAGTTCTGAGAGACTGAGGCAGAAGGACTGCACCTTTGAGCCCATCCTGGGCAACTTGGTTAACTTAGCAAGCCCCTATATCAAAATTAGAAAGGAAAAAAGGGCTGGGGATGTAGCTCAGTGCAAAGACCCTGAGTACAATTCCCAGTGTCTTAAAACAAAGACTAGGTAGAACTCCCGAGATCCGGCCATGGTGGGACTCAGGCAGCTTATTCACCCGCCCTCTTGGTAAGCGCCTGCGGCGTGGGCTTGGAGGAGAACCATTACCTGTGAGCCCACTGCCACACGGGCTGAAAATCAAGCCCTTCCCCCTCCCCCATAGCTACTGGGGATAGATGTCTCAGCATATCTTGAGAGAATGGCCGTATGCAGGATAGCAAATATGGGGAATTTCCTTCTATCTTCTGTTTGAAGGAAAAGGTTGTTTTCACTGTTTTTGTTTTGTTATGTTTCTTTTGCTCTATTCAGTATTCTCAATTGGTTTTATAATGTTCTATTTTTGGTTTGATTTTGCTATACCTAATTGACTGGACAACTGTTGTGAAGTTAAAGAGATATACCATGGTACCTATTACAACTATCCCAGTATCCTACTGTGAAAGCCTTCACCAATTTCACTGCATTGTCTCGATTGGCTTTGTTCTATCTTGTGCTGTTGCATTTTTACTACTTTCAAAATAAAAGAAAAAAAAAGACTAGGTGCAAAAGCCTACTAGTACTTGCCAGGCGCTTAGAGGAAGGAGGGATGAGGATGATCACAGGGAACAGGGAATGATATTCTGCAGCTATGTAGTGGCAATGTGTACAACTCCCAAGATACTAAAATCCCACTTATTTGGCACTTTAACGGGGCTAGGTTGTATTTTAGATGAATAATATCTCAATAAAACTACTGCTTATTTTTTAAACATCAAGTAGCTAAAATGTCCTTCAGTAAGTAATTGAAATAGAGACTGAGGATGTAACCCAGTGGCCCAGTACCCGCCTGACATGTGCAAGATCCTGAGTTCAAATCCCAATTTTAAAAAGTAATTGAAATAAATAAAGTATGGAACAGACATACTATGGAATACTATTTGTCAATAAAGCCTGTACACTTGCATATACACATCTGTGATGAGTTTCTGGGGAATTATGCTGAGTTTGTAAAAATCCAACCCTAAAATATTAGACTGTATGTGCTATGCACAGAAAGTTTGTGTACCCCCCAAAACTGATAGGTTAAAACTCTAATTCACAGTGTTATGTATTTGGGGTTGGTTCTTTGTGAGGCGACAAGGCCATGAGAGTGAAACTCTCATGATGAGATGAATGCTGCTAGAAAAGAAAAAACAAAAAGGTGGAGCATGTAGCTCGGTAGTAGAGCATTTGCCCAGAATTTGGGAGAATTATGTTCAATCCAGCACCTAAACAAATACATAGAAGAAGGAGCAAGAGAGAGCTTGCTTCTTCCCAAGTTTCCACCTCATGAGGACACGTTAAGAAGTCAGTCATCTACAAAGTAGAAGACCTTCCCACCTACTTTTACCCCAATCATAGATCTCTTAGCATCCAAAACTGTGAGAAATATACTCCTGCTGGTTAAACCACTCGGTTTATGGGATTATGTGATAGTAACGTGAAGTGACTAAGTCTGATTCCATTAAAGCCTCTTTGAAATGACACATTTTTAGAAAATGGTCATTCAAGAGATGCAAATTAAAAGAACACTAAGATTCCATCTCACCCCCCAGAAAAAAAATGGCTATGATCAAGAAATCAACCAGTAACAAACACTGGAGGGGCTGTGAAGGGGGATCCTTCTCCACTGTTGGTGTGAGTGTAGACTCATACCATCTCTATGGAAATCTGTGTGGGGATTGGGTGGGGATTTAGCTCAGCAGCATAAGCGCCTGTCTTGCAAGTGCATGGTTATGAGTTCGATTCTGGTTTAGGAGGTCCCATTTGACCCAGATATTCTCCTTCTGGGTATTTTTCCAGAAAAATTAAATCATACCACATTAATATATGTTTATAGAACCCATGTTTATGGAAGCACAATTTGTAATAGCTAGGTCTTGGAAACAATCCAAATACCCATCAACTGAAGAATTGATAAAAAAGATTTTTATCCAGTGGAGTACTACTTAGCTATAAAGTATAACTTTGAGACTTTTATAGATAAATGGATGCAATTGAGACCATATTCATAAGTGAAATAAATCAGACACACATGTAAACATCATATTGTCCCACTAGTGTGAAAGGTGAAAGAAACTATGTGTATATATATATATGATAAGATAGTTATACTACCGATTTCTCTTAGTTCACTGAAGAGAAAGCTTTGTGCTGCTAGTATTGTTCAGACAATTAAATGCAGATATCTTGTATTCTGAGTAACCGATCTGAAGATAACAATATGCAATGTATATACCATTGTTACCTCCTAACTATTGTGTTTTGAAATTTTGAGGTTTTTTTCTTTGAAAAATAATTTTTTAAAAAACAAAAAGGTAAGGGCTGGGGATTTAGCTCAGCAGCATAAGCACCTGCCTTGCAAGCAGGCAGTCATGAGTTCAATCCCCGGTACTGATAAAAAGGAAAAAGACAAAAAATTAAATTAAATTAAAAAACAAAAAGGTAGAAAACGACAACAAAAAAAGAAAACAGGAAACACATGAGTGATTTTAATGAGGGACAAAGATGAAAAATAGGAAGTGTAGGCTGAGGATTTAGCTCAGTCACATAAGTTTTGCCTGGCAAGTACGAGGTCATGAGTTCGATTCCCAGTACCAAAAAAAAAAAAAAAAAAAAAACATGGGAAGGGTTTCCATGGGATGGAAATGTTTGATTTCTTGCACACAATGTGGATGTAAGCCTTACACGTGTAACAAAGTTTTATATAATCAAATGCATGCACATGCAGGCATGCACACGCCCACACACACACATAGAGTGAGGTACAGAGAAAAATCAAGTAAAACTGGGGATATATGAATGAAACCATTAAACGTGTCAGTGCTAATCTCCTGGCTATAGTATTGTACTATAATTTTATGAAATATCTCCATTAAGTGAAACTGAGTAAATTGTACATAGGACTTCCTTGCATTATTTATTACAAATGTCTGTGACTTTCGAATCAGGCAGGGAGGCACATGACTGTAATTTTAGCAGTGGGGAGACTGAGGCAGGAGGACCCCCACTACTTCCAGACCAGCCTGCGCTACATAATGAGTTCAAGACTAGTTTGAATTACTGTACATAATGAGACTCTATGTAAAAAAAAAAAAAAAAGACAAAGCAAAAAAAGCATGTAAATCTACAGTGATCTTAATACCATTTTTAACTTTAAAAATGAGATTTGGGTTTCCAAGCCACTCCCAGTATCTCTTTCCAAGTTAGGATCTCTGATGCAGTGGAGAGATGGTGTGAGGAAAAAGCCCATCAACACACAGAAGAGGGAATCGGAATGTTCAAGATAATGTGACAAGTTATGAGGGACACACAGCCAAAAACAGAAACCGGCACTCTGGGCACCCATTCCTTCATTCAACAACTGTTCGCTGAGAGCCTACAATGTCTCCGAAATATTCCAGAATCTAGGTCCCCAGTTTGTAGCCATGATCACTACTCAAGCTAGTGTTCCCTCTTTTAGGGAAGACCATGGCCCAAGGAGGAGAAAGTGATCCCACAGTCTCCAGTAAAGGAAACTCCAGGGGCGCTGGCCACTGGGCATGAATACAGGACCAAACGGAAAGTTAATGAAACCAAGTAGCTGTGGTCCATCACCCTAGACTGCTGAAGGTGCCAAACCTCCCAATGCTTTTCCAAGGAGAGGGCAGTGTCTGGCCTGTTCAAGAGGCTAGGCTTAAAAATAACGGGATAAACACGGGCTGGCTAAGGGTCAGGCTGGGCCGGACAATGCTGTCAGGCTGATGACTCACTGAAGGTACAAGACAGACACTTATGGGAAACTACAACTCCCAAGATGACCCGCGGCTGGTCTCAACTACATTGTCATGTGATCCATGCTCACGTGTCTCCTCAGCCGGCTCGGGAATGAAGCACACTAGGTAGGTGGCAGGAGGTGGCAGCCTTGGAGGGTGGGCGCGTCGGGGTCCCTGGAGTTCCCTGCAGAAGCAGAACCCGGGTCTGTTTCCTGCAGGGCTCGAGACCCGGCCTCGTCCCACGCTCGCCCTTTGTGGCTCCGGCCGAGCCACGCCGGAATCTACCTAGCTCTAGGCCGGGATCGAATCCTGGGAGCCCGGAGCTAGTTACCTCACGTCACCCACTGGCCTCACTACAGGCCTGGGAATCGCCCCGACCCGCTCCTGGCTTACCTCCCAGGGCAACCAACCCCGTGTATGTCAGAGTGCCAACTCCAGGCTGGACTGGGAATCTGCCCTGGGTGGGATCTGAGGAGCGTGCTGTAGTGGTGGATCGGGCGTTGGGCTTCTAGTTAGGACCCTGCCAGGGACCCATTATGACGTTGGGCTTATCTCTCCCTCCGTGGCCTTACCCCATCTGCTCCGGCACTTCCTTCTATGAGTTGGGGTGGTGCTGCCCAGTCCTCCTTCCCCCCTCTGCTGAGCCAACCGAGAAACAGCCCAAATTCTCTGCGGACTGCAGATTTTGAAAAAGAACTTGAGGCCAGAGGGAGATGAGGAGAACCAGATCTCAGACATCTAGAGAGAACCAACCACCTTCCACCACAGCCAAGAGGCTTGACAGAGCAAGTAAGCTGGGAACAAGGGAGCTCAGTAACGCGCAGTGGTGCTGGGGCAGCACTCAGCCCCCAGATTTGTGAGGACCTCAGCTTGAGGTCCTATGTGATGGGAGCACCGAGGTGGGAGTGCCGAAAAGTAAACGTGCTTCCTGGAGAGTCAGGAGTTCCCTGGGTTTATGACCTTAGACAAGTCATCCAGGCACCTTCATGGAGTGAACAGGTGGAGGAGGTGATCTCAGACCACTCTGGATCCAGGCCAGAATTCTGTTCGGCCAGAGATTCTACCTTCACTTCTCACTGCTTTGATTTTTTGCTGAGTTTCTGGTTGAGGGGCAGGTTCTTTAAGAGGTTGAAGTCCTGTGGTGAAGTCTGATGCTTCTCAACCTGGCAGCAGCAGAGAGATGACCCTCCTCTGGGGCAGTGTGCGTGGTTTTGTGCTTGCTGACAGATGCACCTGCACTTCCTCCTCTCTCTCTCAGGAGGGTACAGTTCCCAGTTTTGTTCCCCGGGTCATAAGGAGAAGCAACTGGGAAGCATCCTAAGGAGGCTGGGTAGCCTTTGCTGACGCAGCAGAGGGAATGGCTGTGTGATTTGCGGTGGTTAGGTTGTCCTTTCAGCAGAACCTGCTCAATTTCTTTCTCTTCCTTATGGACTACAAAGAGTAAGTCACAGAGGGTGAAGTGGAGAATAAATTGAGTTTTGTGTGAATACCCTGAAATCAGGACTAAGGAATGAAGAGACTTGGGAAAGGAATCACCGATTTTGTCAGTCCGGGTGGTAACTAATCAAAAGCTCCCCCTGGAAGGCAGCTCATGGCTCCTTATTATGCCTCAGTCCTGCCCTTTGTCTCAAGGATTGTGTGCTGGGGATTTGTATGTGCTAAGCACATGTCCTACCGCTGACCTACCTCCCCAGCCCAGCCCCTGCCCTTCTTAACTGGCCTTCATCTTGCTCTTCTTCCCATCAGCTATACCAGTGCCTTCATGCCCGTTGTTACCTGCTGAATATCGCTAGGCCCTGGTTTGATGATTACTTGCTTTCTGTTTGCTTAGAGTTGAGAATTCTTAGACATTGTGGGGGGGGGGTGAGCAAAATGGAAAGGGACATTTACAGAGTGACAAAAGCCATGATCCCTTCTGGGGCAGGGATTGCTGGGAATTAAATGTAGGGCTCATACATGCTAAGCATGTGCTGTACCACTGAATTACATTCCTGGCCCTGTGACCATTTATGGAGTGCTCAACCCTCATTGAACTAACACACTTCTTATGGGAACTTAGGATGCAAAGGCTTAGGGGGTAAAGTGACTCGCCCAAGATCACACCGCTGGGAAGTGGAAGAGCCTAATCCACCTCCCATATCATAGACTGCCTGCTCAGGGCTGCTCTTGATCAGGGTATCATTTCTCTTGGGAGTCCTAGGCCATAGCTGAACCTTGAGAATACTGAGGGTCAGTTTTCAGGGCTGGGTTCCTCAGAGCACCTCAAAATTCTAGGGAGAAGAAACTTCTTCCTGGGTTTCAAGAAAGGACCAAGGCTGGAAGGAAAACTGAAGTTCACCTGTGTTTGCCCACAGGGAAAGGAATCATGGCAAGCATGGTATCCGAGTTCAGCCATGTCCATGGTGCCATTTTGGGTCTAGGGCTGGGACAGACACAGATGAATGCTGTAGGGCCAGATAGGCTAGGGTTTCGTGATCTTGATGCTGTTGCTCTTTCTTTGTACTACTGAGAGTTTATGCTTGATTTTTAAATCCCAGCTCTACCACTTATTGCTGTATGACTCAAGGTAGAAAGCTGAATGTCCCTTGGATTCAGTTTCCTCCATGGTAAGGTGGTGATCATTCTGTCACCTTTTAGGGCTGTAGTGACAATTAAATGAGGTAAAGCATTCCATAGTTGCCACAAGGCCACATGTTCGGCCTCAAAACCTTGTATCTGGCACCAGAGAGCAGTCATGGTACCGTGTGAAATGGTGGCACATGAGAGAAAGCCAGAAGGAAACCAGCTAAGCAGTGCTAGGCCCTCACATGGCTCCAAGCAAGCTGCAGTGAGCGTCTGAGGAAATGGGAAGAGATGGGTCCTGAGAAGGGGGCTGGCAAAGAGGGGCGGGAAACATTATAAGGATAGGATTATTGATTATTTTCTTGAGGACATATGGGAAGACATGTGGAGCTTCCGGGGGACGAGAGTGAAAATTTGTCCTGAATTTTCAAGGGTCTTGAAAGCCACCCATAATTTAGTGTCTGGACTGCAGGGAGGCACCCTGGGCTGTAGTGCATTGAAACACCCACAGTTCTTGGGGAGACATCCTTGTGGGACCCTCTGCTATAGAAATTCACTGGAAAGGCACATGGGGTCAGGGATTTAGCTCAGTGGCATAAGCACTTGCCTGGCAGGGGCGAGATCACAAGTTTGATCCCTGGTACCAAAAAAAAAAAAAAGTACACAGACTTGGGTCCAAATTGTGTGCATCAGCTGGCACTGTGTGACCCTGGATCAGTAATTTTTTTGTCTCTCGAAAACTTTTGACAGGTCTGCTGTAGGATTGAATGAGAGAAAATCAGCTGTGATATACTTGATCACTGGGGCCCCTCTGTGTTCAGGTCTTATTTTCCCTACAGATCCTAAAAGACTGAAACAAGCAGGGTTTGCGTCTGGCACATTTACGTGTCACACAGAGGTACACCTGGATTTGAATCCTATCTGTGTGATTTTTTTTTTTAATGTGGTCCTGGGAATTGAACCCAGAGCCTTCACACTGAGCTGTATCCCTGGCCCTTTGATATTTTGTTTTGAGACAGGATCTCACCACGTTTCCCAGGCTAGTCTTGAACATGCAGTCTTCCTGCCTTAGCTTCCCAGAGTGCTGGGATTAACAGGAGTTCATTTGGCTACCATGGGATCTTAGCAAACTTGTTTTACTTCCTGGGCCCCAGCCTCCCTATCTCAGGATAACAAAAGTACTTGCCTTTATCCCATCTAGGCTGAAAGGAGTCTTCGTAAAATAACAGCCCTGAACAGGCAAGCATTCCCTGTACCACCCTTGGGATGTGGTCCTAAGAGCCCACAGCCCTTGCATGAAGAGGGCTCTTTGCATCATGGCCCAGGTCAACATCAACAGTGAATACAGAGAATGGGGCCCCAGCACGGATGCTGGAGAGCGGGCTCGTCTGCTGCAGAGTCCTTGTGTGGATACCGCCCCCAAGAGTGAAGGTGACGACTCTCCTGGGAACCCTGACAGAGGCACCACCTCCACACTTGGGGCCATCTTCATCGTTGTCAATGCCTGCCTGGGTGCAGGACTGCTCAACTTCCCAGCAGCCTTCAGCACTGCTGGGGGCGTGGTGGCCGGCATCATGCTGCAGATGGTGAGTGCCCAGCTGTTGTTAGAGATGTAGGGAATGTGGGTTCTCAGCCTCACCAGGGAGGTTCTGGATCAGGCACGGTCAGCAGGGACAGAGGCTGCCATCCTTCCCTCTGTTAGATATGGCAGATATTCCCAGTCTATTCCAGCAGTCTTTAGTATGAGCCTGGGGGAGGGCTTCCCCCATCAGAGAGATGTAAGCATCAACACAAATTTAATTTTCTGGGTGTTACATGGGTTTTATGGGTTTTTTTTTTAAACAGACTCTTTCTTATGGAGCTGCTAGACTTTATTGAGGAAGTGACGAGATAGCTTGCACTTGCTTCACAGATGGAAGAGAAATAAGAGGCAACAAAACCGACCATGAATGGTTATTTTTGAAGCTTAGTAATGGGAACATGGGAGTCCTCTGTGCCATTCTCTTTACTCTTACATGTGGAGTATTTCTTTGAAGACTTTTTATGTTTAAAGAAAGTCTCAACTTGGCAGCCTCTAGCTGTCTATTAAAATTGCATTGCTGGATGAGACCCATTTGCCTGACTCATGCTGGGCACTGGCCTGGTAATTGCTGAGCTTGGCTCCCAGGCCTTCCCCACACCCTCTTGTTCTGTCCTTGCCTGCAGGGCATGCTGGTTTTCATCATCAGCGGCCTCGTCATCCTGGCCTACTGCTCCCAGGCCAGCAATGAGAGGACCTACCAGGAGGTGGTGTGGGCCGTGTGTGGCAAGCTGACAGGAGTGCTGTGTGAGGTGGCCATTGCCGTCTACACCTTTGGCACCTGCATTGCCTTCCTTATCATCATTGGGGACCAGCAAGACAAGAGTGAGGTTCTCCCCAGCATGTACTTGCCCTTGGCCCTGGTGATCCTGGGAAAAGCTGTACACTTAGCTGGCCTTCAGCTGGAAATCTTCCCTCTAGGCTACTGAGCCTAGTAAAGGGAGGTCCTGGGCCCAGCAGAGTGGAAGGCCACACTCTGTGGTGGCCCACCGTGACATTCCCTCTTTCCTCTTTATGCAGTTATAGCGGTGATAACAAAGGAGCCCGAGGGGAGCCTTGGCAGCCCCTGGTACACAGACCGCAAGTTCACCATCAGCCTCACCGCCTTCCTGTTCATCCTGCCCCTCTCCATCCCCAGGGAAATTGGCTTCCAGAAATACGCCAGGTTCGGAAGCTTTACCCCAACCTGGGCCAGACTAAAGCTCTGATCACAGGCAGCTGGAAACCCAAGGACTGCTGGGAACTCTTATCCTGCATGACTCCTTACCCATTCGGGGAACAAGAATGGGCGGTGGCAGGTGGACCAGGGCTTGCAGAGTGTCAGACATGAGGCATCCCTTTTCTGCCCCCATTAGGGAAGACAGCAGCCTTTGGCATCAGTGAGAGATTCTGTTCTAAATGTCCTTGACAAGGAAGAGACTAGTGATGCCTGGGAATGTGAGGCAGCCTGCTAGCCTGGGCCTTGGTTTTCCCTGAGAGGATGGGATTTGTGATCCTTTGAGATTGTCCACCTACCAGCATCACAGATGAACGTGGAGGGAGGAGCCTGGCTTCCTGGCTTATAATCTGAAAAGCTGCAAGGCTCTGTGCTGTCTTCCAGTCTTTAAAGGAAAGAATCACTCAGCCGTCTCCACAGTTCCTAAAATGGTGGCATTCGCCTTTCGTCTTCAGCAGCTCCTATTTCTCCCGGGCCTGGCCCAGATGTTGGCCCATTGGCAGGCCAAGGCATGGCTCCTCTGATTGAAGTTGTAAATATGCTTTGAAGTCCAGTTCTCTGAGCTATGGAATGAAATCTATGCATTTTCCAATGGCCAGAAATGCCCGTCAGGTCCCCATTGGCTGTCCAGCCCCTCCTAGCTGTGGAAGTTCTCTCTGAAACTGATTTCTCAGGCATCTTGAAACCTTGTTTGGCATAGTCCCCAGTGTTCATTGGACATTTGTGGTACCTGTAACTGGGGTTGGGCACCCCTGGGGATAAAATCAGACAGGAGGTACCTGGGGCTGGGGAGGAGAAAGTCAGATTCTCTTTCCTGCAGCTTCCTGAGCGTCGTGGGCACCTGGTACGTCACTGCCATCATAATCATCAAATACATCTGGCCAGATAAAGAGATGACCCCAGCAAACATCCTAACCAGGTGGGTGAGAGCCCTGGGAAACATAGAAGTAGGGGCCGCCATCTAGGCCCCAGGAAGTGCTGGGGCAGACATCAAGATGCCACACAGCCAGTCTGAAGCTTGTTAGCTCATCAGGCTGACGCATAGGTTATTGCAGGAAGGTGGCAAGAGATTCTGGTCTTTTTCTGGAGGGATGAGTGAGAGCCAGAGGCAGGAGGAGACCCTGAAACCAACATCTAAGAAATGAGCCGGTGCAGGATGGGCCACCAGGCTGTAGAGACCGATAGGATGCAATTGCACATTTTTCTAAGTTGTATTTATCCAAATTGTTTGTTTGTTTGTTTGTTTGAGACTGCATCTTGCCGCATAGTTTAAGATGGCCTTGAACTTGCAATGATCCACCTACCTCAGGCTCCCAAGTACCTGGATCATTTTTTTTTTTTTTTTTCAAAACATATCAGAGAAACAGAGGCCCCCAGTCCATTAGCTAGGAATTCTACTTGTTGGTTCCAGAAAGATCTTTCAGAGCCCTGTTTGCTGGGTGGTAAAATGGAGATGTCTCTCCTTTCTGTAGTCTAGACTTCTATGTGTTCAGTGTGTAGGATGCTGGTTGCTAGAAACCATCTTGGGATGAATAAGGAATCACAGTATGTTTGGTGGCTCTGAGCGTTTTGCAGGAAGACACACATTTGTATTTTATCCACAGGCCAGCTTCCTGGACGGCTGTGTTCAATGCCATGCCCACCATCTGCTTCGGATTTCAGGTGCCAGCTGCAAGGTCCCTGCTGTCCCCTGAGCTCATCCCCAGCCTGTGATAGAACCCATATTACAGGCAGGATGGGGGGGTGGTCCCAGGAAGAAGGATAAAATGATGCCCAGGGCTTGCCCCATGTCCCTGCAGCCCCTGTTCCCAGAGTACACTCCTGTTCGCTGGGGTGGGGTCACTTTTCCTTCCTGACTGCGCACTTCACCTAAACAGTGCCACGTGAGCAGTGTGCCCGTCTTCAACAGCATGCAGCAGCCTGAGTTGAAGACCTGGGGTGGGGTGGTGACGGCTGCCATGATCATAGCCCTGGCTGTCTACATGGGCACAGGTGAGTTGTCCCCTCCAAGGCCCAGGTGTAGCAGGTTCCCACTCCCCCTCAAATCCTTGAGTCATCCTTTCCCAAGGACAGCCCTGCATTCCAGCCAGGATCTTTAGACACTAGGTTGAACTTGGGCTGCCTGAGGCCGCCTCTACCAAGATGGAAGAGGTGTATCCATCCATTCATTCATCAGTTCTGTACCGGTGCCCAGTAAATGCCAAGAGCTGTTCTCAGTGTGGGAATGCCATGGAGATGGTAGGCCTTGTCCTGCCCTGTGGGGGTACCAGTCTCATTGAAGAGGCAGTTGCAGGAGACACAGACATGGCAGTGAAGCCAGAAGGCATGGGTGGAACCTTTCACTGAAGGCTCCTCTCTGAAGAGGTAGCATTGGGGAAGGTGGAGGATGATGAGAAAGAGCCAGAATATGACAAGCCAGGAGGAGCATCACAAACAAGGAACTACAAAATGCTGAGCTTCTGAGGCAGGGGCAGAAGGGAGGTCTGTGTGGCTGGAGTGCAGGGAGTTGGGGGCAGGTGACAAGGGAGGAGCCAGCTACTGTTTGGATCCTGAGAGGAAGCCTGTTAAGTGGGGGGCGTTGCTGGGGAAAAGAGAGCGTTGGCTGCTGTGCGGAATGACTTGGGAGGGGGCAAGACTGGGAGCCCAGGAAGGGGTCCCAGGGGCCACTTGGGCTAGTTCTGTTCCTTCCTCAGAAGCCACACTTAGGAGTGAGAGAGAAATGGGTCAACTCCCCCTGAGGTGTTTGCTCTGGCTGGGGAAGCAGACAGTACACCAATCATAAGGACAATTCAGAGGGAGATGAGTGCCCTGAAGGGAAAAAAACTGGATAATGAGCACGCACCAGGGTAACGATGGATGGGCAGGGCAGGGTGTCCGAGAAGGGACATCTGGTCCAAGACCTGAAAGGCAAGATGGCAGCGTGAGAATCTGAGCAGATCTAAGGATTAATGTAGAAGTTCTGAGACAGTAATGTGCTGACCAAGTTCAGGTTCACAGGGACATTCAGACATTCAGCAATGCAGGGACCAGAGGGGTTCCCCCAAGGGGGCATGTGAGAAGACATGAGGTGCTGTTGCTCCCAGCTCGCAGCCCCCTAAGGTCCAGTCCAAGCCTCCAGAGCTGCTCAGCATCCTCTGATGTTGCGTGAAGCAGGAATTGGCAGTCTGCCCCCTTACCCAGGGTCACTGTGACCTGGCCACCTTGTCCCTGCCCACAGGCATCTGTGGCTTCCTGACTTTTGGAGCTGCTGTGGACCCTGATGTGCTCCTGTCCTATCCCTCAAAGGACATAGCTGTGGCTGTTGCCCGAGCCTTCATCATCCTGAGTGTGCTCACCTCCTACCCCATCCTGCACTTCTGTGGTCGGTGAGGCCCCTCCCCACCCACTCAAAGCCCTTGTAAGCCCTTCAGCATGGCCCACAGCCTTATGGGAAACCACTGGGAAGAAGCTGAGCCCATAGAAAAGAGTCCATGCCTAAGATAGCACCTGCCTACTCCAAGCTGGGTCTGGAGGGTACTGTTGTCCTGAGCAGTCTGAGTCCTCCCAGAGTCTGCAGTCCAGATCCTTTTCTGAGCTGCCATGGCGTCTCCTAGGCTCTCAGAAACCCAGGACAGTTCCTTTTGAAGCAGATGAATAGTGCTGGTTCCTAGGAGATGAAGCAGAGCACTGAGCCCTTCACATTCACCATCTCATCCAGCCCCACAGCAGTCAAGGCCAGGCATTATTAGCTCCCTATTACAAAGAGAAAACAGGCTCAGGAATCAGGGCCTTCCCCACAGTCTGCCCCACGTGAGGTGCAGGGTGTCATCAGGACATCTCTGAGCCCCTCCTCTCGTGGGCAGGGCGGTAGTTGAAGGCCTGTGGCTGCGCTACCAGGGGCTGTCAGTGGAAGAGGACGTGGAGCGGGAGCGGCGGCGACGGGTGCTGCAGACACTGGTATGGTTCCTGCTCACGCTGCTGCTGGCACTCTTCATCCCTGACATCGGCAAGGTCATTGCAGTCATTGGAGGCCTGGCCGCCTGCTTCATCTTCGTCTTCCCAGGTGCGGAGCCTGATGCCCCTGTTCCACTGCCCTGTAGCATGGACTCCCAAGGCTTCTCTGGCCTCTGCTCCCCACTGGCTCTAAACCTGCCCAGGAAAGTAGCATCTAGCACTCAGCAGTAGATAGATACTGAGCTCCACTGAGTGTGGCCCAGAGGGGAAGGGGGCCTGGTGGAGGTGCCCTGACAGAAGGCAGGAGACCTGAGCCCTAGACATGGATCTGCTGCAGATCCTTGGAAAACCATCACACCCCATCTGCCATGACTTTACCCATAGCACTTGTTTCTTCTATCCAGGAGGCTTCTTTGAAAGCCCTTTCCATTTGGCTGGGACCAAGGGAGCCACGTCAGCCCAGCAGTGCACTGGGGTGTGTACCCCCACTGAGTCACACTGAATGCTGCCGCCTTTGCTCTGAATTGTGTGTGCAGTCAAAGAGTGCTGGCCAGATGTCAGCCTGTGCTGGGAGAAGGGGCCAGGTCTCACTCCCAGCTTGGTGGAGTGAGCAGGGTGACTCTGCGGGAGTAAACCTAGGCCTTTCTCGGCCACCACCACTGCTTCTTAGTGAGGTGGGGAACTGCGTGGAGTGAGGGAGCCCCTGCCCTACAAATGCAGGCCACTTCTTCTCTTCCAGGACTGTGCCTCATTCAAGCCAAACTCTCTGAGATGGAGGAGGTGAAGCCAGCCAGGTAAAGCAGGGCCAGGGCTGAAGGTCCTCTCAGAGAGGTGGGGATGGAGAGACTGGAGGACACCTTAAAACAGATGAGTCAAGAAACTTGTGTACTTAGCTGGGCATGGAGGTGCACACCTATAATCCTAACCTTCTTGGAGGCTGAGGCAAGAAGATTACAAGTTCCAGCCCAACCTGGCCACTTAGTAACTTAGCAAGACCCCGTCTCAAAGAATTGAAAAAGGACCTGGAGTGTAGCTCAGTGCAAAGGTGGAGGGTTCAGTCCTTAGTTCTACAGGGGGAAAAAAACCACAAGACTCGCAGTGACACATGCCTGTAATCCCAGTTTCTCAGAAGCCTGTGGCATGAGGTTTGCAACTTCAAGCCCAGCCTGGGAAACTTGATGAGACTTTTTCTCAAAAAAAAGTGCCAAAGAGATAGGTGGTTCAATACCCAATAATATTAGGAACACTGATGAGTCACAGATCCCGTTCATTTTACTTTGATACTTTGAGACAGAACAATTATTTAGTATTACTGCTTTTTTTAATTAGAGAAAATTGTATCGGTACACACCAGACATGCTGGTACATGCATATAATCCCAACACAAAGCCGAGGCAGGAGCATCATTCCTTTAAGACCAGCCTGAACTACATAGCAAGACCTTGTCTCAAAAACAAAACAAAACTTTAAAACACACTACACATATTGAAAGAAGAAAATAAAGGGGCCAGGGACTTAGCTCAACAGCATAAGTACCTGCCTGACAAGAGCAAGGTCTTGAGTTTGATCACAGATACCAAAAAAAAGAAGAAGAAAATAAAAACAGTCTCAGTACCAAGTGATAATCTTGTTGCTGCTTTCAATACAGATGTTTATAGGGATCTGGAGCTTTTTTCCAGTATTAGGGGTTAAACTCAGGGTCTTACACATTTGAGGCAAGTGCCATGCTACTGAACTCCATCCCCAGGCCACATATTTGGTTTTTCCTCCTTTTAAATGAACTGGACCACTTGGTGTGCAGCCTGTTTTTTTCCTAAACATCTTCCCAGCAGAAGATCCGCATCCTCACCCTGGCATGCTGTGGACGGTCAGTTCACCCCATCAGGGCCCAGTCTCCTTGCCTGTGCAGTAGGCACTATCCAGCAGACCTCATGGCTTTTTATGTAAAAGTCCTTGGGAAGTCAGCAGTACTCTACCAATACAAATAGTAAAATATGGAGCGTAGCTGGCATATACATATGTAGACGTCATGTGTGTGTATCTATGCAGATGTGTGCGTAATACAAATCTGCGGTCACCCCTCTCGTCCTCTGTCCTGCAGCTGGTGGGCCTTGGTCAGTTACGGAGTTCTCTTGGTCACTCTGGGAGCCTTCATCTTTGGCCAGACCACAACCAACGCCATCTTCGTGGATCTGTTGGCATAACCACTGCCTCGAAAGAAGCACACAGCTGTGGCCATCAGACCCAGGAACTTGTGTCTTAGAGTTGCGGGGCCACCCCAAGTCCAACATCGTTCCAGCTGGTGGGATGATGTCTGTACATCTTGCGGGGCAGTTGTGGAGCAGCATCTGGCCCTATACCTGTGGACTTCTCAGCCCCAGCACCCTTCCAGCCCAGGCAGTGGCGTGGATGGTGGCAGAACATTTCCTGTCGTGATGGGACTTTGATTTCTCAACACTCAGTTACTCCATGCCTGGACCCCATGGGTGAAGATAGTCTCAGAAGACCCATGTGTTGAGGACTGAGTCTCGGCTCAGGCAGCATGGCACATGCCTGAATCCCATCATTCAGAAGGCTGAAATGAAAGGGTTGCCACAAGTTCAAGGCTAGCTAAGGCTACATTGTTTGTTCGTTTCTTTGTCAATACTGAGAATCGAACTCAGGGCCTCCTCCTTGCCAGGCAAGACTCTGTGCCTCTGAGCCCTTACTCTAAGGCTACACAGTGAGTTCGGGGCCAGCCTGAACAATGTAGTAAGACCCTTTCTCCAAAAAAAGAGAAAAGACCAGAGGGTCCAACGTCTTTCACAGAACAGCCTGTGCTGCACAGGGGCTGTGCTCAATACGCCAGGGCTTAGGGCCTGCTCCAGTCCATCAGCACCCACGGCCAGCAGTAGCCTCTTCTGGGATCTGGCAACTCCCTGAGGTAGCACTGAGGTCATACAGATGCTCAGAGACAGGTAGATACAGCTCATCGATTCCCTCCTCGGCCCCCAGTGAGCCTGGTGGCCTCTTTCCCATGGCGGTTGACATTCCTTAGTCTTAGAGGCCCCATCCTGCCTCTTTGCCAAACCTGATAGTCCAGGTTGAGTTTCCTCCTCTGTCCTCAGACATCACCAAGTCCAATGTTTACAAATGGTGCCAGCCCAGCTCCGAAGCCAGGGGCACCCGTGCTGTGGTGCTGAACACTCACTATTGCTTTCCCCATGGGCAGAGGGGAGTCTGCTTTTCTCTCAGATTTTCAGAGGCTCAAAGGTGGTGGCAGAGGAGGCTGGGAACCTTTCAGATCCTCCCCTGAGGCTGAGCTGGCCAGAATCCAGGTGAACCGTACACACCTTTTTCAACAATTGCTTCTTTTCTGCCACTGCTTTTCCTCCTCCCAGCAAACCCAGAGGGAAGACAGCTGGGTCGCTTGGAAAGTTCCCTTCCATCCTGGAATTTGGCTGCTTCCTCCCTCCTGTACCATCCCATTTCTCTGTGTAGTTCAAGGTTTTTGTTACTTGAAGGTCCAGAAACCCTCTCATCGGCTTCCTCAGCTGTCCACCTCTATCAGGTCTGGCCTTGGCCTGTCAGCCACATCGAAGTCATCCTGGATTGTTGCCCCAGATAGGATGAGGCAGTTCACTGTTTGCTCCCTCCATATTCCTGTTGTTTGATCCCTCTTCTACCCCCACTAATTTTGGTAAATTCTAGGTACAGCATCAGGCTTTCCCCAGATAACCCCAGTGTTTCCTAGGCCCCTCCTACCTCAGCCTTCCATGCAGGAGTGAGAGCCCCCCACAGCCAGCCAGCAGCCCACAGTCAGGGCAATCAGACCTAAGAAGCAGAATCAGGATAGGGGCCAAGGTAAGGGAGCTGTGTTTTCTCACATTGCATCCCCTCGGGGCCTGCTCTTCCCCTGCACCCGGGCAGACTTCCTCTACAGTCTTCCCTCAGCCTCTGGCACAGCACCAAGCCCTGCAAGACCAGAGGACCGGGGGTGGGCAGCTGTATAGCCTCTAGTGTTGCACTGAAGGGCACAGGGGTGAGGCAGGGCTCTGCGCTGGGGTGAGCTGGTCCAGGAAAGGAGCTGGCCTCTAGCTTCTGGGCCTGACCTCAGAGTCCTTTCCTGCCTTCTCCCTTTCTCTCCCCTCTCCATCGGGGTATTTCTTGTTTCTTTTCTACCCATACACACTCAGAGGTGGGAAAACAGTTAATAAAGGGACTCGTGCTGCTGAGCTGTGTTCTGTGTCTGGCGCTAAGAACAGAGCCCAGGTTATAGACAGGAGAGAGGAGGGCTGGTGTGGAAGGTACAGATGCAACTCATCTACGGCCCCTGTCCTGCACATGGTACCGCCATGCTCCCTTTACGAGGAATAAGGCCATGAGTGACTCCTTCCTTTCCTCCCCATCCATGCTGTCCCCTCCCCCATTGCTTCAGGAATACAACTCCCATCTCCAGTCCTGCCAGCTCTGCCCTGACTCCCACACCTCTGAGACATCAGACTGGTCTCAAGCTGCATGTCTCTCTGTGACCTCAAGTCTGGAGTGAGTAGCCAACTCCTGAGTTACACCCCCCCCCCCGCCTTTTTTTTTTTTTTTTTTTTTTTTTTTTGGTCTTTTTCCTTTTTTTATCGGTACCAGGGATCGAACTCACGACTGCCTGCTTTACAAGGCAGGCGCTTATGCCGCTGAGCTAAATCCCCAGCCCCTCCCACCCCATTTTTTTAAATTTATTTTTTAATTTTTATTTTAAAGGGGGTAAAATTAAAACAACAAAACAGGACATAAGAAAGCAATGTATGAGATGTAAATTTCAAAGCTAGACGACCTGAGATCTTCACTATCATATTGTCTCTTGTTTTCTTCCAAATAGTTGTCCATGTCTTCGCATACAGAGAATTCATACAAAACAATATAGTATATAACTGATCCAAAGTGAATGAGGAAGGTGTTTTAGATCTTTAAAACTAAACAATAGGGAAGTCACTAATGGCTGTCATAGATTCATTCTCTTCAAAAGAGCTGTCCATACCCTATGTATATTGAAATACAACAAAACAAAACAGGCAAAGGGGGAGGGATTGCTTGGTTTCCTGGTGCTCCAGGTCCCAGCATGGCTCGGGTCCCAGTAGAGGCCCCTGGCTCCTGTCCTGGGCCACCAGAGCCTAATCCACCCCATTTTTTCCAGGACTATTGAGCAGCTCTGCTGTCCTCATCACAGAGCCATTCACCATGCTAAGTGCTGGCAAGAAAATACTCAGCAGCTGGGCATGGTGGCTCATGCCTGTAATCTCAGCACTCGGGAGGTTGAGGCAGGAGGATCCTTGCAAGTTTGAGACCAGCCTAGACTACAAAGTGAGCTCAAGGCCAGCCTGAACTGCATAGAGAGACCCTGTCTCAAAAAGACAAAAAAAAAAAAAAAAAAAAAAAAAAGTACTCAAGAAAACAAACCCTGCTGTGCTTCCTGTCTTCCTGGGAAGGGTGATGACAAGCAAGCAGTCACACTTGTATGCTATGCTAAGTCCCAAGAAGGGAAAAGAGGGTGTCTTACTGGACCTTTTATTCTTTGAACAAAAATAATCAAAAGGAGGAAACTCTTACTGTGGCTCATGGTATCAGAGGTTTGCATGGCCATGTTGCCTTGGGCCTGTGGCAGCACAGGATAGAGAGGGCCTGTGCACGACGTGGTGGCTGAGAATAAGAGATAGGTAGGGGCCAGCATTCCCATAGCTCCAAGGGAGAACACTCCCAGCAACCTAACCTCTTCCAAGTGGATCCTACCTTTTAAAAGTTTCCACACCTTGCATCCCACAAGCTGGGGACCAAGCCATCAACTCATGTGCCTCGGGGGACAGTAAGATCCAGACATTTGCATGGACCATCAAACTTGTCTAGGATCCAAGGAGGCTTCCAGGAGGGGGTAGTGTTTGACCTGGCCCCTGAAGGATGAGTAGAAATCAACTAAATGCAGAGCGGTGGGAAGAGCTTTCTAGGCAGTGGGAACTGCATGTGTAGCTACTTGTGGTGGCGTAGAATCCCAGTATTTAAGGTAAGAGGGTCAAATGTCCACGGCCAGACTGGACCACATAGATCCTGTCTCCAAAAAAAAAGTGATGTAGGAGGACTGTGACCCAAGAAACTGAAAAAATGGCCAGAGCATTACCTGGCTGTGGGAGAGTTGCAGAGATGATTACCTAGAGTTCTGGGCCCCCCAGCTTCTATGGCTTCTCCTTCGGGTCAAGGTTCATGGCTGACCAGGTTTGGGAACTGAAAGTTGGCTATACCTTTCACACTGAGGGAAGCAAAAATCTAAGCCAAAGGCAAATTCTAGAGGAGACAACCACTCATCCATTCATCCTTGTACTCAAGACAACTGCATCTTAACACTCGCCACCCTTGTAAGCTCTTGGTCAGTGTCTGTCTCCCCGGTGGACTATGATTCCCATGGGACCAGAGTGTGTCTTCTTTATCCTCACCTGGGATGCCACATAGGAACCAGGAGCTCTGTCATGGGCAGATGAGGGAACAAGTAATAGCTTGTGCTGAGTTCTTACATTGTGCCAATGCCTCACTTGGTTCCTCCTCATCCGGTCCTCACAAATCCAAAGACGCCAAGGTGAAGAAAGTGGAAATAGTTTGCTCAAGTCAGTCACATGGGTCATCAGGGGAGCTGGCAAACACTCTTACCATGTACCAATAATCAGGTACACAGAGGGCACTGTCAGCTACTAATGACCCCTGACCTGGAAGTCAACCACAGGAGTCTACCATCCCCACATGAGCACCAACATCAGACCCGGAACCCTTGTGTGCTCTTCCAGCCAGTCCAGATCAGAAGTCCTACTGTCTAATGGCTCTGGGCAAGTCGCCTCTTTCTCTAAAGTGGAAAGGATGATCTATTACCTTACAGGGTAACGAGGAGTCAATATGAAGGGGAAAAAAAGAAAAGCACTTATAACCAGGCATGGTGATATACGTCTGTAGTCCCAGCTACTATGAAGCCTAAAGCAGGAGAATATCAAATTTGAGGCACAGCAATTTAATAAAACAGAGTAAAAGGTTTTTTCTGGTGCTGGGGACTGAATCCAGGATCCTTGCACTGAGCTACATCCTCAGCCCTTTAAAAAAAATGTTTTAAGTAATGGTCCTGATGAGTCACAAATTTGCCCAGGTTAGGCTTGAACTTGTAATCCTCCTGCCTCAACCTCTCAGTGGGCCAGGGTTTCAGGCATGTACTACCATGCCCAGCTTCAAAATAAATATTTTTAAAAGGTCTCGGGATGTAATTCAGTCCTCCCTGGGTTCCATTCCCAGTACTGAAAAGAAAAAAAGTCAAAAGAAAAAGCAAAGTACTTGTAAAATCAGACATGCTTTATGACTTAAAGGCCACATTTATAAAGAAATGTGGAATTTTAATTTCTTGGGAGCACATGGCAGATTTTTCCCACTATTTCGTAGGAGTCAGGGTGCTTCTCAGATGTTACAGTGATCACCTTCAGCTAGTTTCTGAGTCAGCAGGCCTGGGAAGGGCCAGGTCTAAGGTTAAGGCTCCCAGAGAGGCCCATGCTGTTGTCCTCACCAGTACTCTGAGCAGCATGGTGAGCAAAGTCCTGGGCCCAGATAGACCCAGATTGAGTCTCAGTGAGGCCTCTCACGCCATGAGAGTTCAGGGAGTTGCTTCACTTTACGGAGCCTCCACTTCAGGAATAAAGTAGGGAGCTGGGCGTGGTGGCGCACTCCTGTAATCCCAGCACTTGGGAGGGTGAGGCGGGGGATCGATGCAAGTTGGAAACCAGCCTGGGCTACAAAGTGAGTCCAAGGCCAACCTGAACTGCATAGACAAAAAAAAGGAACAAAGTGGGGGTGAGGGTGCCCACCTTGTAGATATAAAGATGACAAAGCCAAGGCATAACTGTCAGTGTGGATGCCTGGCAGACAGCAGTTGCTGATTATATCACTGTACACATGTGCAACTGCAGTTTCTCCCTTTGGTCACGAGAGGTCGCCTCTAGATCGTTTCTGCTTTGACAGTGCTTGTGGCTTCAGAGAAGCTCCCAGGCTTGTCACTAGGGCTGTGGGCGACATGGCTGCTGCCTGGTACATATAAGTGATGCACTAATGCAGGGCAGGGCCACTTATAAGTTATGACCTCCAGTTTGGTGTGTAAATGAAACCAATCAAATAGTCACAGACACATTGTGTAGTTACCTAAGATGACCAGTGACCGTAGTCCCAGCTATTTCATGGGTTGAGACAGGACTATTTAGGCCCACGAGTTTGAAACTAACCTGGATAATATGGTGAGACTCGTGTCAATAAAAGAAAGGCTGGGAAAAAATTAAAAATAAAATAAAAAAGAAAGGCTAAGCATGGTGGTTCATGCCTATAACCAACATTCAGGAAGCTTAGGCAGGAGGATCACCTTGAGTTCAAGGCCAGCCTGTGCTACATGGTGAACTCAAACCCAGCCTGAACTGCACAGCGAAATCCTGCCTCAACAAAAAATCTTTAAAGAAAAAATTATATAAGACCACTCTGGAAAGTTGAGGCAAAAGGATTGCAAATTCAAGCCTAGCCTGGGCAATTTAACAAGTCCCTGTTGCAAAATAAAAAATGAAAATAGGACTTGAGGTGTAATTCAGTATGAAGGCAGGGTTCGATCTCAGGATTGGTAAAACAAAACAAAACTAATTCTGTAGGCACATGTGCTAGGTAAATTAAATATCGCAACCCTAGATTTGCAAGTGACTCTTAGATATGATACAGTGAAAAATTCATCTCCAGTTCCACAAAAAAGAAGGGAAGAAGGAGAGAAGGAAGGAAGGAAAGGACCTCAATAAATGTGGGGAAAAGGCAGAGACCATGACCTGCAAACATAAGTTTCCTAGAGGAAGTAGGCAAAGGACTCATTCATTTGATCATCCTTCCATTAAAAACAAAATTGACTCACTGAACTTGGTGCCACAGGTCTGTAATTCTAGCTACTAGGAAGGCTGAGACAGGAGGGTCACAAGTACAAGGTCAGTGTGGGCAACTTAGCAAGATTAATCTCAAAATAGGAAAAATGGGAGGATATAGCTCAAAGCTGTCTGAATTCTATCCCCAGTGCAGCAAAAGAAAAATTAATTAGTGACAAGAATACTGCTTGTAACAGCAACCCTGGAAGCCCAGCAGCTTGGCACAGTAAGCACTTGGGTCTTGCACACACCCCAGTCTGCTGCAGGTGGCCCTGGTC